CTTCTATAGCAGGTCTGATGAAACTGCTTTCTATCTGCGAGACATATGCGGAGGAGCATGGCCTTAAATACAACTCAAAAAAGAGTGAAATATTAGTATTTAAGGCACCGAAACGGAAGCCACGACATGTGCCACCCGTATGTCTCGATGGTTTACCTCTGAAAGTCGTACAGAAGTTCAAATATCTCGGTCATATAGTTACGAGCGACCTAGGAGATGATGAGGATATTGAGCGAGAGCGCAGAGCGTTGTCGGTAAGGGGCAATATGCTTGCCCGCAGATTCGCCCGGTGCACTGCAGACGTGAAAGTAACTTTATTTAAAGCGTTCTGTCAGTCTTTCTATACCGGTGGTCTGTGGGTGACTTATACACGCCGGACCTACAGCGCCCTGCGTGTTCAATATAACAACGCTTTTAGAATGCTGTTGAGGCTGCCGTGGCGCTGTAATGCCTCTAAAATGTTCGCAGACGCACACACTAATGACTTTTTCGCCATAATGCGTAGAAAAGCAGCGTCTCTCCTGCAGCGCTTACGTACCAGCAACAACGGCATGCTAATGGTAATTGCTGCCAGGCCCGACTGCCCCATACTGCACCACTGTATGACGGTAGCTATTGGGCAAAAAAAAATATTTTGTACATAATTCACATTAACTAACAATACTAACTTACAAGTTAAGGAAAAAATTGTTACTAACATACTAACAATCTATGGATGATCCTTACGTCTGAAATACACTTATTATTATTATTTTTGGGGTATCTATAAAGTTTTCTCATCTGGTTGGGCAGTATAAATATATAATTGTAAATGAAAATGGTAAACATACATAAATATGAATAAAATAAAATAAATACATAAAAAATACATAAATATATAAAAACCCAACCAGATGGAAGCCCTCGGCAGGGGAGACCAGACGGCCGAGGGTTAGGGGGAAAGGGAAAGAAACCGGCGGACGATGCGGGCGGTATCGAGGAGCACCGCCTTCTGCATTTGAGCCTGGAGCGGTCCGTCACGGAGTCCCAGCCGCCTCAGATGACCCGGGAGGCTGACTGGGATTAACCCATTCGCAGAAACGACCACAGGAATAATTTCGGTCGGCAGACCACCCCACATGCCGGTAACCTCGTGAGCCAGGTCCAGATATTTTGTCACCTTATCTGTTTCGGCTTTCACGAGGTTCTCGTCATAAGGAATGGTAATGTCGACCAAAAAGATCCTTGACTGTGCCCGGTCCATCAGCACAATATCAGGCTTATTCGCAAGAATAGTCCTGTCTGTGATGATGGCCCGGTCCCAGTAGAGCCTGGCGCGGTCATTTTCGAGCACGGCTTCCGGCAAGTACTTATAATACGGCAGTTTCCGATCCACGAGGCCGTATTTCAGAGCGAGCTCCTGGTGTAGAATCCTGGCTACTAGATTGTGTCTGTGCAAATACTCAGAGTTAGAAAGCGCCGAACAACCGGAGATGACATGCCTAAGTGACTCACCGGGATGGCGACAAGCTCGACAGATGTCGACGGCGCCATCCTTTAGGATGTATCTCCGATAATTGTTGGTCTTAATAACCTGATCCTGTATCGCACAGACAAAACCCTCGGTTTCCCCAAAGAGGTCACCGAAACGTAGCCAGTGAAGGGAGGCGACTGTGTCTACGAAAGGCTCATGTAGAGCCTTGTAGAACCTCCCGTGGAGCTCCTTCTCCTTCCATACGGTCTCCCGGTCGGAAATGCACTGTACTGCTGGGTCTTGCCATTGCTCGTTGGCTAAGGATAGAGGGGTCAGTCCTTTATCACAAGAAATAACGTCCCTATAGTATGGATCATCCGCTCTCGTCAGAAAGTAATTACGGAGGCTGCACACTTCGCGATTATGCATGGTAAGCGCGCTTAAAAAGCCGCGCCCGCCATGCTTCCGCGGCAAGTACAGCCTCATTACTGACGATCTCGGATGATGCATCCTGTGGGACGTCATTATAGTGCGGACTTTTCTGTCCAGAGCGTTTAGTTCGGTCTGAGTCCACCTAAGTATGCCAAAGGTATACATGAGAACAGGCATGACCCAACCGTTATATGCGTGCGTCTTATTCACACCGGACAAAAGGCTGTTAAGCACTTTGGTCAAGCGTGCATAAAACACATCGCAAACTGACTGTTTCATACCCGCCTCATCTACACCGATGTTCTGTGACATACCCAGGTATCGGTATGTTTCAGCCTCGGAAAGGGTCCTTATGTTGATGGGCATAGATAAATCTATGCCTTCAGAGTTAGCAACCCTTCCCCTTTCAACATGGAGGACCGCACACTTATCCGTCCCCAGCTCCATTCTAATAGAATTGCTAAAATCACAAGTGATGTTTAGCAATTCCATAAGATGAGAGCGACTGGAGGCGAATAACTTGAGATCATCCATATAGAAAAGGTGGGTCACTTTTGTACCTCCCCTCCGAAGCTGAAATCCCCTCCCGGAGCCCTCCAGTAAGGTACTGAGAGGGTTCAGAGAGAGGCAGAACCAGATTGGACTCAGACAATCGCCCTGGAAGATACCCCTTCTTATCCTTATGTGGTTCTCCGCAGCCGTCATCCGCTCGCCTAGATGACAAAGGATCGTACTCCACTGCCCCATACACTGCCCAAGGAAGTCTCTAACTGTACAGTCAACCTTGTACAGCTCGAGGACCCTCTCCAGCCATGTATGAGGCACCGAGTCGAATGCCTTTTTGTAGTCTATCCAGGCGGCGGATAGGTTCCGACGGTTGCGTTTAACCACTTTGCCAATGACCGCGTCAATGAGGAGTGGTTCCTTGGTTCCACGACCACCGCCCCGACATCCATTTTGAGCGCGCGACATCACCTGATTTGAGTTCAGGTGACGAGTGATTCTCGCGCTCAAAATGAATGTTAGTGTCTTATATATCGTGGGTAGACACGTGATGGGGCGGTATTTGCTCGGGTCTATGGTATCCCGGTCTTTAGGAACCAAATGAGTGATCCCAGTAGTGAAGAGGCTCGGGAGCGACTTTTGGTCGAGAGCCTCTTGAAATTGTCGGGCGAACACAGCGTGACACACCACGAACCCCTTCAGCCAGTAGTGATGCAGCCCGTCGAGCCCCGGACTTTTCCAGTTATTATTATTATTATTATAGCTTGACCAAATCAATGAATAGAAATTGTTTGAAGATATTAATACAACGTTGCTATCTCATGTTATGATCATATGACGATGTCATTAAATCGTTGAAACAGAACTTTTAACAGAATTGACATCACTTTACGCCTTACTGATATAATAAATAAGTTTTCGCTTCTATCGCTGATATTATTAGATAGTACAGTTTTGGTTTTCATTATTTCATCTAATAATAGCGCCGTCTACTTACTTCTAAATAAACTAAAATGGTAAGTCACTGATAAAATTAAATAATTGAATGCTACTGAATATACCTACCATGTAAATTTTAAATAATTGAAAATTCGTTCGTGGCATCGTTGGATTTGTAATTACTAGGTAGATGTGGTCAACAATTTTGCAAAAGCTTAGTTTCACTTTTTACGAATTGTATGAGGGCCGTGTAGCTCGCCGTGATATTTCATCATGGCACGGGAGCAAAACGTTAAGAATAAGATATATCCCTCGAGGATGAATCTGTTATAGAAAATTTTACGTGTTGACTTAATACGTGTCCGTTAAAGTGGTTAATAATAACTTCGTGGGGAAATCTAGTTGTCTGAGTAATTAAAATAGTCGTGATGTGAAAACCGTAAATATGCATTGAAACGTTGCAGCATACTCTATTTTTATGCCCACAAAAAACACTATAGGTGGTAAAGGAGCCTTGTGCACAGTAGTGAGACGTATATTAGTTGCTACTTTACTTTTTTACCTTTAATGGGACTTAATCAGTTTATAATTTAAGATAGTCATATTAAGATATTTGAACAGGCTCTTGCGGAAAAATATTTTAATTAAAGAAAGCAGATTTTACTTTAAAAACAAAGGGTTAGTTTTATTTTACTTTTCAAATGCGGTAATCAAACTGATTAAAACTTAAATTTCATGGTACCGTAAAACCGGCCATCATTGCCCTTAGCGGATATCTTTGCCCGAACACGAAAAATAACTTAAATCTTGAATTGTAAATAAATTTACACAGCTGACAACATTTTTCAATATTTAGCGTAAATTAGAATATTTTTTTGGCAACACTAAATGCTCGTGACGTTACAAAGTTCACTCAGTTGTCGGCAAGACATGTCGGAAGTAGGACTAGTGTGAGGTGGTGCAAAAGTCTTGTTTTACTTTTTTTCACACTGTCAGCGTACGACATCTTTCAGGTAAGTTATTTTAAGTTTAGTGTTACAATAAGTGCTACGCTTCATTTCTATGCTAGTTTGAGACCGTTAAATCATACAATTTTCAAGATAACGGGGTGGGCAATGATTCCCGAAGTTGCGTGAACACAGGAGTGACAACATTGCCCACTTCAAAAATAGTCTTAGGGTTGGCACCCATACTAAATATAAAATCTGTTTTTATTTTATATTTACGGTTGTATGATTGTCATGGTGTGGACGTGTGATGCGGGAAAATTATGAACATGTTACGATGACAGTTTGATCGGCTAAAAAAACAATTAATGGATTGTGTTAAAGATGATTTGGCTAGAAAGCGGGTGAATACTGGTATGATGGCAGATAAATACAATACAAAAAATATTTGTGTATTGTAGTGTCTATGTCTCAATAACTAGCCACTTTGTTGGAAAACAGAAACTATAGTTTAGTATGTTTTTTTTGCAGTATGGGAAAGCCTATTAAAAGAAGAAATCGCAGAGTCCTTGGGTCTCGGCCATATAAAAATTATTCAGAGGAGATGCTGCACCTCGCAGTAGAAAATGTTAAAGAAAATAGGATGTCCTCTAGAACAGCCGAAAAAACATTTGGTATACCTAGGCGTACCATCCTAAACAAAGTGAAAGAGTGCCATAACAAAAATGTTGGAACTCCTACTCGACTCTCTTTCCAAGAGGAAGAGTATTGTTCAAGCATTGATTGCAGCCGGCGAATATGGTTGCCCACTAACGAAGCTTGATTTACGTTTGACTGTTTTGTCATTTGTCATTGAGTTATGTCAGGATCACAACATTTCTTTTGTGTTTATTCCTCCTAATTCTACACATCTCACCCAACCCCTTGATGTGGATTTTTTTGCGCCCCTTAAAAAAGCCTGGCGCAAGATCTTATTACAGTACAAAATGGAAAACCCAAATCAAACGGCAATCAACAAAAACCACTTCCCAAAATTGCTTACGCAATTGATTAAAACAATTGAAATAAACGAGGTACAAAACATAAAAAGCGGCTTTAGAGCCACTGGGATATACCCTTTTAATCCACGTGAAGTTTTGAAAAGAATCCCAGAATGTGCCGAAGAAATGGGCAATACTCATAATATTGACAGTGCTTTATTAGAATATTTAAAAACTACCAGACAATCTAAACCATTGACATCAAATAGAAACAGGAAAGTCGTGGTTGAACCTGGAAAATCAGTTACAGTTGATGATATTCAAAACCGCACTAAAGACACTAAGAAACGTTCCGCAAAAAACAAATCTGCTGTAATAAGAAGTACCGCTGTTCAAACAGCTAAAAACCAGAAATTGAACGATACACCTTCAACGGCAAGTGTCGGCAAAGAGAACCAAATTTTAGATCAATTCAAAGACGAGCTAGACTTCTGTGATAACTTCTCTTTATCATTCTTGGCAGACAAAAACAGCGTCAACGAAAATTATACAATTGATGATATAAGAAATAATGACGAATACAATATAAACACATATACAACAGCACATCAAGCTTTACCAACTTTTACTGAACTTGACATATTAGACGAAAAAAACGGAACTTTACTCTCACAAATTACACCCACATTATGTGAAATAAATGCTTCAAGCGGTATCATTATTCGTGAATGTGCTCGGACAAATATTATTTTGAAACCAAACAATCATGGCTTGTGTGAAGAAAACACTAACCTATTGAAAACTGAAAAACAAAAACCAAAGATTGTATCTTGTGTAACTATACCGTCCACAAAACGTACGTCAAATATTATTTACCAAAGCGATTATGATAAAGAAAATATTGAAACTAGACAAACGATAGCAAAACAAAATGATTTTTCTTTTTACATAGAACAGTCTAGAAATATTTCAACAAAAGCGGAAAAAATTAAAAAAACAAAAACTTCCAATGTTAAGCTGCGACCAAAGAAAATAATTAGAAAAGACTTTAAAGTTTCCAAAGAAAAAAATATGAAAGGCTTAAAGAAGAAATTGAAACGAAGAGACAGTAAATCAAGCAACAGTGATATCGATATGAGTATTCACAGTGATTCAGATATATGCGGAATTGTTTCCGATCAAGATGAGCCAGGTTCTCCTTTAGATACTTATTATTCTAATTTATCTATAGGCAGTGAAAACAAAGTAGCACTAGGAATGGTGTCGACTATCACAAAAACAAGTCCTAATTTATGTTTGAATGAACCACTTGTTCCTGTAACAGTAGATCATTTTTCAGAACCAGGGCCCTCGACTATTTCAACGCGCGAAGAAGTTTCTGTAGAGTATAAAGTAGGCGAGTATGTTTTGGTTAGATACTTTTTTACAAAAAAAGTGGATTATTACGTGGGAATCATTTTAGACAAGCCAAAAAATGGAAAGTTGAAAGTATCTTTCTTAAGAAAAGTCGGCAAAAATGACAACTCAAAATTTATAAAAGTAAAATCACCGGATATCGAAGTAATAGACTGTAAGAATATTGTCAAGACTGTTAAGCTTCTAGCTATTAATGACGCCGAAACTGATTTTGTACTTGCTGATGATGACGATTACATTTATTTTGATTATTAATAAACTTATAGAAGGTACAACTTCTCAGAAGTTCTTATTTACTACGAACTTATTGTTTTTGTGATAATAGTTTTTGTTATTGTTCTGAAGAATAGTAATTTAAGAGTCAATTTAGTTTTGAAATATCTACGTGCTGTGACAACAACCAAATATTTTTTATAAAGTTCCTTTATTAAGACTGTTGGTTAAAGTAAAAAATATAAGGTGTAAACAAATACATTGAAATATCTACTACACGATTAAAATGTATGAAACAACTGATTTTTTTAGAAAATTTTTGAGTAGTACTGTGTTATGTAAAAGTATTTTGTTTGCACACTATATTTATAGGCTAATTTTTTCTTTCTTAGGTTAGTTATTTGTTTCTCTGTGTCCGGGAAGCGTTGAAGTTTTTTTTCTTTCTAAGATTTTTGTCGGAAACCTTTCCGAGCTATAACTATTGTACCTGACTGATTTTTAATACAAAAATTTAAAATTTGAAAAGATATTATTATTTATCACATTATGTGACAACCCTAAGCCACCGTTTTAGTTTGTAAGAAAATGTAGCTGGTGTGTAGTATAACATTGCCCACCCAAGTGAAATAAAAAATAAAAAGTTTTTGACATTTAGATCAAGAAGAATGGCAACTTTGCATAATTTACCATAACTAGCTTGTTACATATATATTTATCTATGACCATAACATAAAGTATGTTTCCAAAGCCTTACAACTGATAGTTTTAGAAAAAATAAGGCTGAGCAATGTTGGACGGTTGTGCGTATAATTTTGCCCGGCTATTTAAACGCGTTTTTCTCGAATTCGTTTCTCTCGAGTACGTAAGCACTATTAAATATTTCAGCATATTATATTTTAATTGCAATTTGAAGTGTCGATTTACCACGTTCTCAAAAAGAGAATAGAAATCAATCGTTTTTTATATACTTAAATTGACTTAATTTTAAAAGTTGTCGTGTTGGGCAAAGTGAATAGGACGTTGAAAAAGGGAATGGATATGATATGATATCCACGTTGTCCGGCTTTTACAATTTTTAGTTTCAGTATTATAAAGATCATATTTTATTGCAGATGGTGCATAAATACCAAAAAAATTAATCAAGGTTCTTGGGATAGACGTCATGCAGATGGCTGTAAATTTATGCCATATCGGAGAATCGGTGAAGGCACAGCTAAAAAGTATGGGTTGGCTTATGTAACTTTGTACAGACACGTCAAAAGTGGCAAGATTACTCCAAAACTCGGCAGATTTCATCCTGTTTTCAGTGAAAATGAGGAGATAGAGTTAAGTACCTATCTCCAACACATAGATTCCGTGTACCTTGGTTTAACTCGAGATGAGTTTAAGAATTGAGCGTTTACTAAGCCAAAAAAAAATAATTTGAGCTATCCAAAAAGTTGGGACAAGTATGAACAAGCTGGAGATTATTGGCAAGAATCATTTTTGTCACGCCACAATGATATTATGCTCAGGACTGTAGAGGCAACATCGGTTGCGAGAGCGAAAGGATTCAATAGACGTGAAGTCGGACGTTTCTACGAAAATCTTGAATTTTTTATTGAAAATCACAATATTGATGCATCTAGATTTTATAATATGGACGAAACCGGTTGTTCGACAACATCCAATAAACCCCCTAAATTACTATGAATAAAAGGAAAGAAACAGGTAGGCAAAATTGCAAGTTTTTTTTTATAGGAGAGTGGGCAAACGAGCATGCGGCTCACCTGATGGTAAGTGACTACCGCCGCCCATGAACAACCGCAACACCAGGGGAATTGCAGATGCGTTGCAGGCCTTTTAAAAAGGAGTAGGCTCTTTTCTTGAAGGTCCCTAAGTCGTATCGGTCCGGAAAAATCGCTGGTGGTAAACTATTCCACAAGGAAGTTGTGCGAGGAAGAAAACATCTTCTAAATCGCACAGTGGTGGACCGCCAATCATCCAGATGGTGTGGATGGTATCGGGAGTTCTGCCGCGATGTGCGTTCGTGAAATTTGGCGGCTGGGATTAATCCAAACAATTCCTCAGAGCACTCCCCATGGTAAATGCGAAAGAAAATGCTAAGAGATGCAACATCTCTTCGCAGTGCCAATGAGTCGAGCCGATCGGAAAGGACTCGGTCGTCGACGATTCGAGCCGCTCTGCGCTGGATGCGGTCAAGTGGAAGCTGGCACTGGGGAGCCCCAGCCCAGAGATGGGAACAGTATTCCATGTGAGGCCGAACCTAGGCCTTGTAAAGTTGCAGGCGTTGAGCCGGCATGAAATACTGTCCCGCTCTACTGAGCACGCCAAGCTTTTTAGAGGCCAATTTGGCCTTCTCTTCCAAGTGACCACGAAACTGCACGTTACTCGATATGTCAACGCCGAGGATTCCGATACTGGCTGAGGCAACAAGGGGAGTACCTTGAAACTGAGGAGATACGACAAAGGGGTTCTTTTTAGCGGTAAACGCGCAAACTTGTGTCTTCTGAGGATTAAACTGGACTAGATTTAGTCGCCCCCAATCCGAGACTTTGTCCAGCAAAGACTCGACTTCAGACACAAGTTTGTTCCGGTACTCGGTGACGTTTTCCCGAGAAATATTGGCACGGCCGGTGTATAGAGCATCACCAGTGCTGTCATCTGCATAGCAATGAATGCTACCGGCTTGCAACATATCATTGATATGCAGAAGAAACAGCGTTGGTGATAGCAATGCGGGGCGAGGTCAATTAACGACTGTCATCGGGTGTTGTAATGCCGCTGGATCATTTCTAGCACCCTTCCCGACTTTCGCGAGAAAGATGATGCAACCCAGACTTCTTGACGGTGCGCCTCCCGGGACTCAAGGTACTTGTACGTCAAAGGGTTGGACTTCGGACGAGGTATTTCTTGATTGGATGCATTTCTTCGTAGAACAAAAAGGTACTTCTACTCTTGAACAACCATGAGAGCCACATATATTATCCTGCTTTGGAATATGCAAGTATGCGTCATAATTTTATCCCTGGCCCCGCATACGCCACTTATGGATGTGGCCGTTTACGGCCCACTGAAAACGTATTTTGAAAGAGAGATTAACACGTTCCAAAAGGCTCATTCTGGGCGCATTTTAAATCAGTACGACGTGACCAGACTGTTATCATCAGCATTTCTGAAAACTGCAGCAGCCATAAATGCAGTTCATGGGTTTGAACGACCTGGAATTTGGCCAGTGAACAAATATGCCTTTCGTGATGAAGACTGAACCAGCGGATGTGATTGCAGGCAGATCAAATATGAACGTCAGCATAGTAAGCATAAAATTCAATACAAACAATAGATATTCCTGATTCCGCTGCCTCTTCAACCCCTTCACCCTCACTTTTACAAGAATGCAATTCAACAGTTGATCCTCTTGTATAAATAATCCTACCTCCAGAAAAGCCACAATCTGCGAATTATCTAAATCTCCATAAGCCATCACTGGCAGCACGCATTAGTTGTACAATCTTGTTTTCAAGTATACCTTATATTATGTGTCGTAATCTTCTGAACGATGACCAGCAGAGTTGAATCCATCGATTGATTTCTCGGTCGAAGTTGGACTTACCTAGTCGGATTATATGTCAAAGATAAACATACTCCTAACAACTTCGAGTTTAGTGCTCCCAACAGCTATCAGCATAGGCGTGAGACATGGACGTGATCTTTGTATTCTCCATGTTCATCTTAAGACCCATCCGTTGGAAGGCGCTATTAAGGTGATTGAGCATAGTGCTTAGGTCCTCCAGTGATTTTACAATAAGGACTATATCGTCGGTAAATCGAAGGCGAGTGATGTACTCGCCATTGATGTTAATACTGTATGTATCTTATCCAGTCCAGTAGCTTAAAAACGTGTTCCAATGCAGCGGTGAAGAGTTTTATGGATATAACGTTACCTTGTCTTACACCTCTCTTCAATAGGATATGTAACTGGTTTTCCACCCACTTTCAGAAGCTCCGCTATAATTTCATCCTCGCCCGGGGCTATATGTAAATATTTCAGCAAAGGGATTGCTTTGTTTGTTTAAATTGTAACTTCAGTTTAATAAGTGGTCGTGCTTTGTGGCATTCTTTGGGGGCGACCTATGTTCAGCAGGGGACTTGTGAAGGGCTGTAATGATGATGATGATGAAGTGATATATAATGAAATGTAGTACGATCGTGAAGATAGAAGAGAAAATTTCGTATGAATTTATATCTTTTTTTTTATAGGATCGGGTGACAAACGAGCACAGTCCACCTGATGGTAAGTGGTTACTTTGACCCATAGACATCTACATCTATCCTCAATAAGGACTCAAGATGCAGATGCGTTGTCACCCGTGAGGGCTAAGATGGAATGCCTCTTTGCTAGTAAAAAGGGTCTCCGATTCTCTACACTCACCATACGAAACACAGCAGCGTTTAGCTGCTATTTTACGCTGGTTTTCTGTGAGAGCGTGGTCCTTCCCGGGTCGAGCCGACCCATTCGTGCTACAACCATGATATAGCTACAGCATGGCTTTACCACGTAGAATCTATCTACGTGGTCTATTTTTTAATTCTGATTTCTTCTTTAATGCCTCGATGTATTATGATAGGTTATTATGATCGATCATTGTCGTTGTTCATCATCATCATCGACGTACACAACTTTTTTTAACCTACATTAGTGAAGCTAGACTCTATCCTTTTTAATAATTTAATAACGGCTTTTCTCTATACTGATTTTATTAATTTTTAAAATAAAAGAAATATTTTATTATGAGTTTTATGTATCCTAACAGGATTTTTTTAATTAGTCTTTATTATCAAGGAGTAGACATTAATTTCTAAAACTTTTTGTATATCACTTGAAATATCTTTAACTAATGTTCGATTTATATTCCGGGAACACAAGTACTTACTTAGTTGGGTTGTATCATGGTTCTGTACCTAATTGCTTACTAGCGAAACGTCCCGGCTTCGCACGGTTGATTTCCGGATCTCGACAAAAACGCCACCTACCAGATTCAATTGTGAATCTAAACCATTCTCTAATCAACTTAAACACAGACACAAAATTTCATCAAAATCAGCCCAGCCGTTTAAGAGTTTAGTCACATACACATTGACAGAAGAATTATATAATATACTAGCTATTTACTCGCGGCTTCGCTCGCGTGGTCTTCAATTTAGAACTTACTTATTTACTTATCTTCACGCACAATCCCTGACGGGGTAGCCAGAGAGAACAGATCGCCAAGTGTCACGATCCTTACAAACCTCTTTCGCTTCTTTCAGATTCATTATCTTCTTCATGCATGCACGTCTAGGTATCCGAGTACTTTTGACCCTACCCTCTTCGAGCAATTTGCTCACATGGTCTTCGAAAGTTAGTCTCGGTCTACCTCGACACCTTTTAATATTAACTTTCGCGCTATATATTTTCTTCACCATTCGGTCTTCACTCATTCGCTCAACGTGCCCAAACCACCGAAGCACGCCCTTATCAATTTTTGTGATAAGGTCATCTTTCAAACCTGCCATATTGCGAATCTCTTCGTTTCGCTTTCGGTCGGCCATGGTAACGCCGCACATTTTACGAAGAGATCGCATCTCCACTGCATTCAACTTACTTTTATGCTTCTTCTGGCATACCCAGGTTTCGCTGCCATATAACAAAGTCGGTACCAACACTGCGTTATGTATTGCAAGGCGTGCACTCTTCGCTACGCCTTGCCTTTTGACTAACGCAGTCAGGGCACCATTGACTTTGTTCCCGGCAGCGACACGCCTGTCCACATCTAAATCACATCTTCCATCCCGGCTAAAAGCACTCCCCAAGTATACAATTTCATTTACCTGTTCTAGACATTCCTGATTTACCCATATTTCACACTTCGTTCTCTCTTCGTCCCTTTCAATTTAGAAACATCATTAAATGCTATTCCGCGCCAAATTTACCCAAATTAGATCATTTTTAGTCACTTCGGTGTCGGTGTATTCAGTTTGTCAATGAATTATTTTGAATTCCTAAAGACTATTGGGCGTGTATTTCGATGTATCCATAAGAAAGATAAATTGTCTTGGAATCAAAATTTACTATTATTATTTACTCCTTACTTTGATTCACACTTAAAGTTAATTTAATTATAGCAAAATAATGATGAATTCATGGTCTTATATGCGATATTTGATTCATATTATTGTTCCCATTTAATGTTGATTGGCACCATAAAATAGATTCTGATATATTTTCTACGTTCGGGTAGACTTCAAAATTTCATAAATGCAGTTCTGATAATGATGAATACTACACATATAATAAAACAAATTTTAATAAACACGTTACATTTTAACTTTTATTTAAGCGGGTTGTACAAAACACATCTTTGGAAGAAAGTTCCATAAAAAAATTGCGTAAAAAAAACGTATTGCTTAAACACGATAAAATCCTTAAAATTACTTTTATTGCGAATGAAGTTCTATTTGCAGTGAACGTGGGTAGAACTACACTCATGATTGGAGGTAGAAAAATGTTCGCCTTGTTGTGGCGACGAAAGAGAATCCGCCACCTCCTAATCATTCCGTGTCCTAAGAGGCGATAGAGTAAAACAAACAGGAGCTGGGCAACATAATCTTCCTATGTCCCTTTGCAAACTTTGACAGAACCATTGTTTACTTTCAAATAACTTTTAAGATCGTCGGAAAATAGCAAACACTGTGCCTCCTCAACGAAGGAAGATCATTAACCATTAACATAAATGATAAAGGACCGAGATTGTTCCCTTGACTCACTCCAGAATAAATACAGTACAGTTGCGATTCAAAACTTCCAAAATCTACGTATTGTCTACCCCACCACTAAGATAATTTGGAAAAATAATCTAGTAAGTTAGGTGTAAAACCTAGTTCGGCAAACATTACCAATAAAATATCGTTATCAACGGTATCAAAGGCTTTTTGAAAATCAAAATATGCTGTGTCAACCTGGCTCCCAGTATCTACTACTGGCACCACATAATTCATAAAAGATAACCAAAAATTCAAAATGAAACCTATGCTGACAGACATCCAATATATTCAATTAAAGAGCTTTTCTCCTAATCTGTTTTGTGTACACAGTACTGGATACTGTGCACACAAAATACACGTGTTGTGTATAAGTGTTGTTAGCCATTTTGCCAAATGTGGTAAATAATTCCGGTAATGGCTGACAATTTTTGATGCTACACGAACGTTATATCAGTTACTTATCATTACTTTATTTAGCAGAAAGTAGAGGGCGCTATATTACATTAACACTATAAATGTCAAAACTATATCAGCTATAAAAGGTTGGGGAGAGACTGGCTCAAGAGCCACCCCAAAGCCGGGAACATTTATTTATTATATAAAAAAGACAAGGTGATTTATTCTGTTAAAAAACATGCTATCAACACCGCTAGCGGTGAAAATCTATTTGACGATATGACAATATTATCATGAAATAGCAATGTTGTGTTCGGTTATTAATATCTTTAAACGATATCTATTTATTGATTTGGCTAAGTTACATCATGACATGGTCAACAAACAGTGATAAATAGCATGAAATGACACCATTTCACGAAATAATGATTTAATGAGAATTTTGCAATAATGCCTTTTCTTCTTCGATTCACGTTCGTTAATTTCTTGCTGCGGTAAACACTCACTATCGTATAATCTTTGCGCACGATGTAAAATTTCATTGCTTAAAATGTAGTCTTGTAGATACAACTACTTTTCTTGGAATCACACTAGACGCGAAGCTTCAATGGAGCCCCCACATATCAAAACTAGCAAGCAGACTTAGTTCTGCAGCATATGCCGTAAAAAAGATTAGAAGTCTAACTGGTGTTGAAACAGCTAGACTAGTTTACTTTAGCTATTTCCATGGCATAATGTCGTATGGTATTTTGCTATGGGGACACGCAGCTGACACTGAAATTATATTTGTTTTACAGAAGAGGGCCATAAGAGAAATTTATGATTTAAAGCCTAAAGAGTCGCTGCGACAAAAATTTAAGGAAATTAATATATTAACTTTGGCCTCTCAATATATTTATGAAAATGTAATGTACGTACACAAAAATAAAAGTAGTTTTACAAAAATAAGTGATATTCATTCTGTAAATACTAGGAACAGACAAGCTAGTAGTACCATCGAGTCAGTAATTCATTCTTGGGGCGATGTATACGCTTTTACAACAAAATTCCAGAAGATGTACAAAATTTGACCTGCTCAAAGTTCAAAAACTTTATTAAACTAAGTTTGCATAAAAAGGGTTATTATAATATTAAAGAATTTATAGATGATAACCCCTGGAAATGAGGTGATCGCTACCAAGCTATTTCTAATTTGTTGTGTTGTTAATTTGTGTAACATACATGATTGTAAGCTGTTATTTAAAAAAAGTCCCGCTGGGTTTCTTGCTGGTTCTTCCAAGGACAGAGGTTTTTTTTCGAACCAGTGGTAATTATACAAAAGAGTGACTTTCAATAAGTATTATTTATATTCTATATTGAATAAAAAAGTTTCTGTTTCTGTAACACCGCAACATTTTATAGCATTCGCGGTTCCGGTAATGGTTCCGTCATTGGTAAAGAAGCGACACTATCTACGAAAATTTAAGAATAGCATAATTTTACGTAATTAGGTTACGGACACACTGTCAACTGTGGGCCGTAGATACCTAGCGGTATAAAGGTTATCGGAAGGGAAGGGCGCGGGAAGATACGTGACAAGGTATCTAAATTTGTAAGCTAGCGATCCATACGAATGTGTGCGTGCGTAGTAAAATAGTAGGCGTTAGATATTTATGAATGACAGTTAAGTATATTGCAAAATAAATCTGTATAACGTCAATGTCGACGTGTCCACTACATACATTCCTAATTTTTACCTTTTGAGCTTGATAATAATTTAAAAGTCGATTTATAATTTCTAAATTATTATTTAATTTCTAAAACTTAATAATACTACTTGTATTATTAAGTTTTAGAAATTGTAAAAATGTTGTAGAAATTTAGTTTAATAAATGATAAATCAATAATAATTATTATATTTCAATAATATTGTATAATATTATTTCAATATTTTACTCGCTTTGGTTGGTTATCTAACCCACAACTAATAACTAAATAGGTACGCTGCTCATTGGATTGGTAACGCATTTAATGTTCGTCAGATAGCGAACGAATTCCATACATGCTTGTTTAGGTTAATAAATAAAAAAATGGAATCGGTCATAATAATTTTATTCGCATATAATAATTGATTATGATACATGGAGCGCTAATGCGCACCGGTCAGCAGAGGTTGAACCTCACTCGTTTGTCCTCGCTCCAAATTGAATTTATTATTTATTTATAATGCATCGACATTCGTTATGCAAAAACCATGGCTACATATTCACTAGTGAGAGGTCTCGAGGCAGCATCTGTCAGTCGGACACAGAGTCCCCGCAATACTCCGGTCGGTCGCGAAGCCGTCGACCGTTCGCTTTTATACATATATATCCTTAAAATATAACAGTCAATTCAATTAGACAGTATGATGTCCGTCCGATCTATATATTTACATACAAACAAACGGAGCTTCTCTCACACGGCGCCGGGGCCGCGTCGAATCGGACGAACTGTCGATTCGCCAGTCCGTTTCGACGTCACGGATTTGAAACGGGGATGACGCTTCAATCCGCACGCATCTTAAATAATCCTTAATTCACTTTTCATAATTTACGACTTAATTAAAAATACCGAGAAAGTAAATCGTGAGACGTGGATATATGCCTTGGTGCGGCGCGGTGCGGATCACTCGGCCTTGACCTCGGCGGGAGGGGGCGCGTCGGGCGGCGCGGGCACGTCCGCCGGCTCGCCGGCTGGCGCCTCGCCGTCCGCCGCGCGCTCACCGCTCCCGCCCACCTCACCGCCACTAGCGCCGCTGCCGTCTGCACGCGACAATACATTTTGCTTTGTTGTAGTATCAGCAATAAAGTAAGTAACACACTGCACTTGTGGAAAAACAAATTGCTTTCGGGTATGATTGTGTTCAGTTTATCCCACCTCCATAAGCATTTCATCAAATATGGTTGGTAAGAATGAGAAGGATCTCAGTGCTTGGCATTCTCACAAACTAATATGTCCTGTCCGTTGATACCTTCCAAAATATTTTGAAGGTTTGACAAAAACCAAAGGAGAAAATGAAATTATTCAAATTTGATTAAAAATAAAAAATAAACTTTTTAAAACTAATATGTGATTTTTATTTAGTACTCAGTTATCACCATTTTTTATAGCTAAATAGTAATAGACTGCAAATTCAAAGATAATAGTATAATAAAAAGTGTGTGTGTACTTATGTACGCACGTAGGAAGTTATACTTCTTTAGCACAACAAAACAAAAAAAAAATTGAGAGACAATTACCCACTGAAGTTGTCGTTTTAGGTGTCAGTGTGCACGCGCATCGTAACAACTTCATGGTGTCGTTTTTAGATGTCGGTATGCGCGCGCATCGTAAAAATTCACCCTCATCATTTATACAAAACGCCCAAAAAGAAGTATAACTTCAAAAACAATAATACACAAGGACTATTGAGTATTTAAAGCTGGTTATAAATTTATATGTATGTATATAAATATTAAGTAACAATAAATAATCTTGTTATAACGGTGAAGGATGCAGTAACCAGTTTTCTCTGTAACATAGATGCACTTGTCCTAATCAGTATTTAATGTAACCCTGGCATTAAAAATAAAGTATGCAATGTCACAGATGAAGTCATACAATTTGTGTTACACAAATTTTCACCATAAAGTCATGCAATTCTATAGTGTTTGTATTGTTTTATGTGTGTTTTAAAATTTTTTGGATAACTGTAGCCAAAAAGAGTCAGGCTACAAAATAAGAGCCATACTCAAATGGGATGCCATAACTATGTTTCCAGCCACATTGTTTTTTTGTTTCAACAGGTTGAATGGTCGTGCTGGCAGCGTATGAAAATCCTTCAACACATTTCATCTCGTGGGTGTCGTATGAAGCGACTATGACTATGACCATAAGGCATATTTGCCAGATGTTGTTAAGAATGCAGAAACTAGAGGCCAGAAGTAGGATCAAAATGCAAGAAGTCTAATACTGCGTTCGGCATTTACGCCTGCCAAGCTCGGCGATTATGGCAAGTACTTCCCATAAAAATACTAAGGAAGCAATGAATACATGAATTTTCATTTTATACCAAATTGAAGCCAAAGTGGCGCGCCTTCCAAGCTATATGAAGATATATTAAATTAGAAACTGGTTGTTGTTTGTGACAAACTGACTATTATGTTTACATGAAGTAGATTCAACAGAAACAATTTATAAAAAGTCATCTATATTGTCTCTCTGATTAAATTAGATAAAAACAAACACTAACCGAAAGTATAAAAGCACTAATGATATGTTATTTATAAATGTTCTTTTAATAGTGTTAGTGAATACTTAACAAATGTTGGCTATAATTCAGGTTTTTTGGGGATATGTCTAATGAATCAAAAGCTATAATTCCAATAATATGGCAAAAGGGAAAAGAGTTAAGATTACATTTGTTAATATCCTTGAGATAATGATACTCCCTAAAACAAAGCAACATTGGGAGGCACGAGAGCAAAGCGGTGCGTGGCACAAATCAGTAGGCTGTGGTCTGTCGTCACCATGGCGTTCTGGTGATAATATCCAGTCTAACGACAGCCTTACGAAAAAAGAAGACCAGTAATCTTATTTGAACGTGAGGGCGAAACAGTGGAAAGTGAGCTTAGGTGTTTGTGCTGAAGTGCAGTGATGCCAAGGACATTGATAACAGGGAGGATTGGAACAACTCACTAAAGGCGTGTGTCCACAGTATATGGAAGGTTATCAACAACAACAAGAGTGTGTTGCGACTCACTGCGCTGCTGGTGGTAGTAGAGGTTGTTGCGCGGGGGCGCGTGGTGCGGGCGGGCGGGCGCGGGCGGCGCGCGGTACAGCGGCAGCACGGGCGCGTGCGGCCGCTGGATGGGCGCCGGGTAGCGCGGCGCCGCGCCCCCGCCGCCGCGCGACACCGCGCCGCCACCACTGCCGCCGCCGCCGCCACCGCACCGGCCGTTGTTCCCGCCGCCGACCATCTGCTGGAAAATCATACAACCTATTATACACTAAATGCCCATCTGTATCGGCTAAATATTTTTACTTGCACTCAGATTTATACCCAAATACTCAAACGCTGTTCAATTTTAAGATGCCGTTAAGTCTCGTGCTGTCTCTACCACTTTAAGTCATAGTGAATGTGACACCACGAGACTTTACAAAATCTTACAATTGAGTATTTCGGTATAAATCTGAGTGCGAGTAATAATTACCTTTGAACAAAAAGTAAAATACGACTTCAAAGAACTAAAAAGAATAACAAGTGTTAAAATAAAAATTGTGTACAACAGACATCAATATAAATATAATTTATTGTTTATTTTTTTAAACCGCTAGACCGATTTCGATAATAATTAAATGGGACCACGTGGAAAGTATACCCTTTTTTAAATTTTTCAAATCGGTTTAGATGCTATCGGTAACCATACATAAAATAAAAAAGATTCCGACAAATTGTAAACCTCCTCCTTTTTGAAGTCAGTTGAAATAAAGTCACATTATGAAGCAATGCTAAGCTATAGTGTATAGAAGAGTTAAATCCCATTTTTTATCCTTTTGAGTGGACTAAGGAATATCGCTGTTGTATTGGCCGTGTAGTGGTGGTTAAGAATATCCACTACCCTATATCTTCCCGTGGGTGTCGTAAAAGGCAACAAAGGGAAACAGGCAGGAGATGGGCAGCAGCATCTTCCTGATAACAGCAAAATTACAATTAAAAAAACTGCTGTTGCCAACCCGCTCGCCAAGCGTGGCAACTATGGCAAATACCCCCATGATAAAAGTTACAAAAAGACGGCCCCCAGTCCCCGGCGGCTCCGCTATTCCGGACTACGGTGGCGACCACGGTAACGGCGGGGCAGGGATTGCTAAGAATCTCCGGTGGAGGTTCGGTTGCCACCTAAGAGGACTCGACCTGGCAACATACAACGCACTCACCCTGAGGACTGACGAGAAGATCGTGGAGCTGAAAGAAGAGATAGACAAGTTACGCTGGGATATTATAGGATTATCCGAGGTCCGTAGAGAGGGGGAGGACACGGTAATCGTCGAATCCAGCAACTTGTTCTATCACCGGGAGGGTGACCATCTGTCCCAAGGTGTCGGATTTATCGTCCACAAGTTTCTCGTTAACAACGTTGTAAAGATTGAGGGTGTGTCGAAGAGGGTTGCGTACCTTATACTCAGTATTACCAAACGGTATTCGCTGAAGGTCATACAGGTTTACGCACCAACCTCGGCACATCCCGATGAGGAGGTGGATGAAATGTATGAGGATATCTCTAGAGCCATGCATTCCTCCAAAACCCACTATACGGTGTTAATGGGAGACTTCAATGCTAGGCACAAGAGAGAACGGTGAGCTGAAATTAGGGAAATTTGGAATAGGGCAACGAAACCCAAGGGGCCAGCAGCTGGTCGACTTCATGGAGAAAGAGGGACTCTTTATGATGAACTCTTTCTTCCAGAAGCGGCCCCGCAGGAAGTGGACCTGGTCGAGCCCCGACGGTTCGACAAAAAATGAGATTGACTTCATTATGACGACCAGACGACAACTGATCAGTGATGTCTCCGTGATCGCGAGGGTGAAAACTGGTAGCGATCACCGAATGGTTAGAGGCACACTGAACCTAAACGTTAAGTTGGAGAGGTCTCGTCTGATGAAGTCAACGCTCCGTCCCCCTCGTGCTCTAATCCAAAGTCCCGAAACCTTTCAGCTCGAGTTACAAAACCGTTTTCAGTGCCTAGAAGACTGCAATGAAGTGGACGATGTGAATGACAAGCTCGTGGAAACTGTCCATACGGTCGGAGCTATGTTCTGCAAGACCCGCCGCAGAAGAACACAAAAACTCTCCGATCACACTCTTAATCAACTTCAACAGATTTGACAGCATACAGGCATCTGAACAGACAGATCTCCAAATGCATGCGGCGGGACTTACGCAACTTCAATACAGCTTGTAATGAAAAAGCCATCGAGCGGTACCAAGGCTCCAAAGTCTTTACCAGAGATCTATCTGCCAGAAAGAGCCAACTATCAAGGTTGAAGACAGAGTGTGGCAGCATCGTTTCCGGGACACCTGAGATTTTGAGTGAGAGGTTCTATGGGCAGCTGTACACGTCATCGTTGGAGCCACACGCAAGTATGAGTAACGATCCAAGAGCGAGTCTTATCCGACACTATTCCGGAGATATCCCGGACGTCAGTCTGAGCGAGATTAGAATGGCTCTCCAGCACCTTAAAAACGGCAAGGCCCCAGGCGAGGATGGAATTACAGCGGAGCTTCTGAAAACGGGTGGAAAACCGGTACTTGAAGTCCTTCAGAGGCTCTTTAATTCCGTCCTCCATGGTGGCACTACTCCGGAGGCGTGGAGCAGAAGTGCGGTGGTATTCTTGTTCAAGAAAGGCGACAACACTCTCTTGAAGAAATACAGAACGATTTCCCTTCTGAGCCGCGTCTATGTGCTGTTTTCGAGAGTCATTACGAATCGTCTCGCACGCAGACTTGACGACTTCCAGCCTCCCGAAAAAGCCGGTTTCCGAAAAGGCTTTAGTACCATAGACCACATACATACCCTGCGGCAGATTGTACAGAAGACAGAGGAGTATAATCTGCCACTTTGCCTTGCGTATGTGGACTATGAGAAGTCGTTGATTCCGTCGAAATTTGGGCGGTGCTGCAGTCCCTTCAGCGGTGCCAAGTTGACTGTCGGTATATCGAAGTTCTGAAGTGCTTGTACAGTAGAGCTACGATGGTTATCCGAGTACAGAATCAGAGTACGAAACCTATCCAACTGCAGAGAGGTGTAAGACAGGGTGACGTTTTATCCACGAAACTCTTCACCGCTGCATTGGAAGACGTTTTAAAGCTACTGGACTGGAAAGGATACGGTATTAACATCAATGGCGAGTACATCACTCACCTTCGATTTGCCGACGATATAGTCCTTATAGCAGAATCGCTGGAGGACCAAAGCACTATGCTCAATGACCTCAATAGTGTTTCCCAACGGATAGGTCTTCAGATGAACATGGACAAAACAAAGATTATGTTTAATGTCCATGTCACACCTATGCCGGTAGTTGTTGGGTGCACTAAGCTCGAAGTTGTTGACGAATATGTTTACCTGGGACAAATAGTCCGACTAGGTAAGTCCAACTTCGATCAAGAGGTCAATCGATTCAACTCGGCTGGGCAGCGTTCGGGAAAGTACGATACATGTTCTCGTTAGACATACCTCAAAACCTGAAAACGAAATTGTACAACCAGTGCGTGTTGCCAGTGATGTCTTACGGATCTGAGACTTGGTTCTTCACTGCTGGCCGTATGAGGAAGCTCAAGGTCGCTTAGCGAGCTATGGAGAGGGCTATGCTCGGGGTTTCTCTGCGTGATAAACTTAAAAATGAGTATATCCGCAGTAGAACCAGAGTAACCGACATAGCTCAACGGATTAGTAAGCTTAAGTGGCAGTGGGCCGGCCATATTGCTCGAAGAACCGACAACCGATGGGGAAGAAAGATTCTCGAGTGGCAGCCTCGTACCGGTAGGCGAAGTGTAGGGCGACCCCCCCACTAGATGGAGTGACGACCTGGTAAGACATGCAGGAAGTCAGGATGCAGGTGGCTCAGGGCCGTGATTTATGGCATTCCTTGGGGGAGGCCTATGTTCAGCAGTGGACTTATGAAAGGCTGTAATGGTGAAGGAATATCATACTATCTAAATGTCGCCTAAATAGTTACATTAAAAACTATTTTGCCACCCTTATGAATGGAATTTTTTCTCCAAACTTATATGGGACCACACCTAAAGTATAACCTATTTAATAAAATAAATCTTCAAAATTGGTCTACAATTGTAGGAGCAATCGGGGAAAATACATTAAAAAAAATACATACAATCGAACATAGAACCTTCTCCCTTTTTAAAATCGGCTAAAAAGTGGAGTTAGTTATTTTTTATTTGAATCAATGAGTACAATAAATAATACATTATGTATATTGGACATGTGATACCAGCGTGAAAGACTCCATCCCATTTAATCGAGAATCCATACCCCATTTAATCGAGAATCCATACCCCATTTCATCTCGTAGGTGTCGTAAGAAGCGACTGCGGGAAATACCTAAAAAATCTTATAACATTCGATAAATTGCGGTATAACCACCGACTTAGAAGTATATGGAGTGGGCATACCTACAGAATTAGCGTGACCTACAAAAATCTGGCACATAAAATGGCCACCTTTTATAATTTTGTCTTCAGCAATATGCACAGCTGATATCGATATTTTAACTGATATGAATTTGTTCTCATGTCATATAATCGGATTTGTTGCTTAATTTACTTTATTCCGTAGGTATTTATAGAGAGCTGAATTTTCAATCGTCAAATATCTTATCTGAGTAATAAATAATGTGACTGTCGAGCAAACGAATTTTTCAATCACATGAAGAAATGGATATTGTTCGAGTTGTCAAATCAGATTTAGATTGCTATACCTTAAGTTTCGCTTGAGCTACTTCACCGGCTTCATCGCATATATGTACACTTACACAATGCATACTCTGCTACAGATTTTTTGTGTTAGGTACAGTCAAACAAAGAGTTAAGTTTGCAGGCAGCCAACATGCAACTTGCTTTAAACAACGTTCTGAGTGTGCTAAGTACTTACTCAAGTTTTTTAAATCATTTATATAAGTGTGAACAAATAATATAACGCACACAATAAAAATGAATGACAGAGTAGTGGGAAGATGAATATTATTGCTTGATGTCAAATAACTTTGTTTTCTGTACAATATTACTGGGATGAAGATCACTGATCCCATATTATAATCCCATATTATGGTATTTTTAATATAAAATAATAATGATAAGATTTGAGTAAAAATGAAATAAACTGATTTAAAAATCAATACTTATTTATTATTAATAGGTATATAAGAACGTTCTGCACATGATTGATCACAATGGTAAGTTATACAAGTAAGTTGGGTCCTGCTGAATATCATATTTTATTTATTCATTCAGATTTTAAATAATAATTATTATTATTTTGCGCAGGTACATTAATTTTGTTCATTTAAAACTCTAAAATTTGGCATGATCATGAAACTGGATGAAATATGATATCCATGATCTATAAATTATTATTATTATTATTTATTAATTTCTGAACAAAATTAATTTATTAAAATCATTTCTATATGACATTTTGTCACTGCTTTTTGGCAGTTTGACAGCAGATCTACCAAACTCGGCGCTTAACATGGCGAAGCAGTCACGCATGGATGAGCTAATGACGTCACACGAAAGTGTTGCCAAAATAAGCACTTGACAAACTGTAGTTGTATCTTTTCTAATGCAGCTACTACTTTGTTAAAAAGAAACAAAACTGTTTTTGACAAGTGTGTTTCGATACTATAGATATCCATATAATATGCCGCCTCCAAAGGTGTATAACTATATTAACTATCTTCTTTAAGTCAAACATAAAATATCATCATCCAGATCCGCGTGGGTAAAAGGTGCGAGGCGCTCGCACTGCGATAGTCAATCTGCCTGCCAAAGGTGACGATTTAAGCAAATCCTCTCTGGTAAATAAATGAACACTTTAGCAGTGGACTTGCAATGACTTTATGGGTTAATATCTCCAAAACTTTCACAAAGATCAAAATAACACACTTATACAAAATCTAGATAGAAAAGAAAAATATTTTTAAAGATATCAAATAACTATCTATATGAAGCTGAAAACATTAAAAATAATATATTGTGTGTGTAAATGGCTTCATAATTCACATTTATCTTTTTAGTGATTTTTGATTTTACGACAGCGATGGTGATTGTGTAGCCTTTTTAGACTTTCAAAAACAGATTTGTAAAATCAAATGTTTGCTTTTGACTTTATGTAAACTATCAAGTTGTAGAAAATTATTTACCAACAATTTTGATATCTTTCTTTCATTTTTATTATACAGCATATTTATAATGCACGTTGAATGTACTGTAACGCAGCAATTAGAACGGTACTATGGTATTGTAGGTATTTAATATGTACGATTCACAGGCTTACAGTGTAGCGCACCTGCTGCTGATGTTGCTGATGTTGCTGGTGCTGATGTTGCTGGTGCTGTTGGTGCTGTTGGTGCTGCTGGTGCTGATGCTGCTGGTGGTGCTGGTGGTGCTGGTGCGGCGTGTGCGCAGGCGGCGGCGCGTGGTACTTGTGCTGTGGTGGCGAGTGCGGGGGCTTTTGCGGCTTGGCACCCTTGGGCGTGGGCGACGCGGCCTCGCACAGTGGCGCGAACCCATTCGCATGCTCGTGCAGCGGACTCTTCAGCTGCGGCTGCGGCGGCGGGCGCGGCTGCGGCGGAGCGTACTGCTGCTGCAACGGAGCCCTGTATTGCTGCTGCAGAGGGATGACGCCTCACTTTATATTTATTTCATTTTAGGAGTGCCTAATAGGAAATAGCTCTAACCCTTTTTATTAGAAACGAGGCATTTCATCTTAGTCCTAATATATTTGCCTGTATTACTTATTCTGAACCTCCTCTGTAAAATTTCATGGCTCGGCTCGACCGGGGTAGGACCACGCTCTCACCGAATACCAGCGTAAAATAGCAGCTAAATGCTGCTGTGTTTCGTATGGTGAGTGTAGAGAACCGGTGACCCTTTTTACCGGAAGAGGCATTCCATCTTAGTCCTCAGGGGTGACAACTCATCTGCAATTTGATACTTAATTGAGGATAAATGTAGATGTGTCTATGGGCCACAGCATCCACTTACAGTTAGATAAACTCGATTGTCACCCTATTCTATAAAAAAAAATTGGCAGTTATTGCAAAATAACCCTGTATAACGCCATCTAGCCGAAGCCATTAGATATTGTGAGATTTCCCATAGTCGCATCTTATGACACCCATGGAACGACGGTGGGATAAAAAAAAGAAAATTAATATGGGATGGTTATGGATTAAAAGTAAGTGGTAAACTCCGCCATTGCCGGTCCCAAGCCCGGATGAGAAAGGAGGAGGCGACGGTTCCGCCAGAGAGAGTGGGTGTTTCCGGTGGACTAACACACCCACCTGCGCTAGGACCTGCGCCGTACGCGGGGATGAAGGAGTCCTGGAGGGTTGAGCCGATCGTCGCTGGGGTATATAGTGGCGAGAGGCAATACGCCCTCTTTGGTCCGGATTTCAAGCTAAACGGTGGCCCTATCTGTTAGCCACAGATAGGGAAATGGCCAAGCGCCCCGTCAGAGGGTCGCAGGCGAGGGATGTGGGGGCTGCCTAGTTTTCCTGAAAAAGGGTTGGGTGGTGGTAAAGGCCATGCTGACGGAGCAAGTGACAGTTTATTCGGGTAGTGGGGATGGGCCTTGTCAGCCCCATCTACCAGCTGGATCGAGCTCCCGATGTCGCGCTGTGAGCCAACTTCGTGTCCCTATATTCTCCCGGTAATCCTAACGCCTGAAATTCTTTTTTAAAATAGGGCGTTACCAAAGGTGTGGGCTCCATGGAGGGTGGGAGGCCGGGGGAACGAATTTTAAACTCAAAACTAATGGACAATTTAAGGCCCAGTAAGAAAGAGGGAGAGGTGTCAGAGGTGCTTACCAGAGACACCAAAGAACAAGGGGGAACCGCCATTAAACCGACGGTTCCACGGACAATACCGACCACCGTAGGTGGCCCCACCAAGGGGACAACTACCGCGCTGGACGTTTTCAAAACCAGTTCCAAACCCGAGGAGCTGGACGATAAAAAGGAACAAGAGCCCGCGAGTAAAACTCCTGCGGAGCCACAGAGAACGGACGACCTTTTCTCTGCTGCCTGGCAAGTGGTGAGTCGTAAGGGGAAAGGTAAGGAACCCAAAAAGGTGACTTGCCGACCTGACGGACCATCAGGAGGGTCTATCCCTGCAGGCAGTAGTGGAAAGGTCAGAAAGAAGAACGAGAAGCAGCGAGAAAAAGGCCGAAGAGAACAAGCCGCACTGGCTGCTTCCAAAACTAAAACCAAGGAAGCTGGGCAAGCTACTGCGACTGAGGTGTTTGAGGCTGGAACCAGTAGCCGCGCTGAAGTTGGGAAAGATAAATCCCGCCCAAGTGGAAGTCGCGGCCGCGAGAACCAGCTGTAAGGTATCCGCCAGGAAGTAGCGAGCGGCCAAGCGTCTTCGGAAGAAGGAAAGAGCAGCCAAAAGGATGCTGGAAGAGTCCCCCTCGCCGAGAGGTGAGCCCAAAAAAGTGCGACTCGAACAGCAACCAAAGGCTGCAAGAACAAGCTACGCTTCCGCTGCTAAAGTAAATTTGGGTGTGGCCTTAACGTGTGCGCGTTCAGGTCACATTACGAAGAAAGTAGCAGACGACATCCTCGTGGCAATACAAAGGAAGATGACCAGTGAGGCCTGGAGTAGTCAGGATCCTGATGAGTCGGGCCCAGTTTTTAGAGGCAAACCCGTTTACACGGAGGGTGTCCTGAAACTGGTGCGACGATCAGAAGGCCCTGGATTGGTTCAAGGGGAATATTACTACCCTCGACACAAAGAGTCAAATGTGGTATACTCCTTATCCCTGATGCCCAGGGAGCCTGGAAAGACTCACGCGACACTGGTCGTGTGCTTGCGTACCAGAACCGCTGGGTTAACATCAGAGACTGGCTGTTACTCAAGGCAGATAAGCAGACGGACGAGTGGTTCCTCGTTGTTTCGGTGCCGGAGGATCATATCACGACCCTGATGAAAGCTGGACGCCGTCTCGCATGTGTATGCGGGGCGGAATACGTAAATTTCCAGGGTCGTGGAGGTAAATTCTTTGACACTACACCAAGCAAAGAGGCTATACGTAAAATTCCAGGGTCGTGGAGGTAAATTCTTTGACACTCCATCAAGCAAAGAGGCAGAAAATAACCCGGAAGTTATGGATACCGGAGCCATGGTTCCCGGTACAGCGGAATCACTGGAGGCCAAGTCCAGAGAAAAAACGGCCTGCACAATTGAGCCGAAGCCCCCAGTAGAGATCGGGCTCAGCGGCAGCTCACTGAGTGACGAAGAGGAGTGCATTTTGCCGACCACTTCCGACTCGGTAGCTGACGATGAAACCCGAGATCTGCTGGCAAGCTTATTTTTGGGCGGGGACGGGGAGGACGCGATCGATGATGACGTGGCCTTCGTCCAAAACTAGCCTAGTGCAGGCCAAACTCCACCGCAGCGAAACTGCGTCGGCTCAATTACGCAAGTGGTTGGAGGTTCAAAGGACGGCCATAGCCTTAATCCAGGGGCCGTGGGTTGGGGTTGGTAAAATTAAAGGCCTAAACAACCTAAAAGGTAAGCAATTCTACAGCACTGAACACGACTAGCCTAAAGCGTGTATTTATACTACTAAAGATATCTTTGTGCACAACCATTAACAGATTTCTGTTCTAGAGACATGTATGCGGTGGCAATACAATATACACAGGAGAGAAGATTAGTCGTCGCCTCGGTCTACATGTCGGAGAAAGACACTCCTCCCCTCATGACCTCGTCAGGCTGGTGAACTTCTGCGAGAGGACCGGACTAGAGGTTGTGATCGCGACGGACTCCAACGCGCATTATCCCTTCTGGGGAATGGAAAGACCAAATGAACGAGGTAAGGTGTTAGTTGAATATCTATTTAGCACTAACCTAACCTTTTTAAGCACAGGTTCTGAACCAACTTTTATAAACAAACGCTGTCGCACAATAATCGACCTCATACTTACAACAGAAGGAGCAGCTAAACTAATTACGGGATGGCATGTGTCGAGAGAGGCCTCATGCTCAGATCATAGATGGATCTGCTTCGCACTACAGGTCGATTATCCCCGCTACACCACCATGGAGAAATTCCCGCAAGACGGATAAAACAAAAATACCTTAATAGGCTGACGTCTTTTCTCGCGGGTTTTGAGGGGACAAATACTATAGCAGATCAGTCGCTCCTAGAAGAACAGGTAGCAGCTGTTCCTAAGGCCATGATAGATAGCTACCATGAATCATGTCCAGAAATCACTCCACCAAGGCATGCTGAGGTAAAGCAACCGTGGTGGGGTAAAGAACTAGATAGAAAACGTAAGAAGGTAATAAAAGCCCTAAATAGGGTCAAATACCTCAATGGATGAAGACTGGCTACTATACAAGAAAGCTAAGTTCGAATACAAAAAATGTATCAGGTATCGACGCTCGACAGGGTGGCGTAAATTCTGTGGCAACATAGAAACCTGCGAACAAGCAAATAGGATAAGGAATATTCTAGCTAAACAGAACACGTCGGGATCCATCTCTCTAAAAAAACCCGATGATAGTTACTCAACATCGCCGGATGAAGCCCAACGCATCCTATTTTAAACGCACTTCCCAGGTTGCGGCGTAACTCAGGAGGCAAACCGGCATGACGACATACTGACACCAACAGCAGAAGACTGGAATTTAGCACAAAGCTCCTCCCCTATAAGGCGGCAGGACCTGACGGCACATTCCCGGCACTCCTACAGTGGGGGGGGGGGGGGGATGTAAAGCCCTAATAGTCAGAATTGTTGCCATAATGCGAGCCTGTCTGGCTCTTAAATATGTTCCTAGGGGATGGAGGGAAGTGAAAATCACATTCATACCCAAACCAGGTAAGAGCGACTACACAGACCCTAAGTCCTACGGCTCCTCTTAGCCTCACATCCTTTCTCTTAAAGACGATGGAGAGGATGTGTGAAAGGGAATTAAGGGGGTCGGCGCTAATGAACTTACCACTACACGACAAGCAATACGCATACAGTCTAGGCAAATCAACAGAATCGGCATTTCACCAGGTAATTACAAAAATTGAAAAGGCCACCCAAAACAAAGAAATATGGCTAGGTTCCTTCATAGATATAGAAGGTGCTTTTTACAGAACGAACTTCTCCAGCATAAAAGGGGCACTCAGTAGACATATAGTTGAGCCGGCACTGATTGGCTGGATAGTATACATGCTCAGTACACGAATAATAAAGATTGCTGGTGAATCTCAACCAATCCAAATTAAGAAAGGCTGCCCGCAGGGTGGGGTTCTCTCACCTCTTCTGTGGAATATGGTTCTTAATGAACTCATCAGCAAATTAAATGCCGATCACTTCTATACAGTAGGTTATGCTGATGACCTGGCAATACTGGTCTCTGGAAAGACAGCAAGCATAGTGTGCGACATGATCCAAGCGGCTCTCCGTATAGTGGAGAGATGGTGCAGGGAATACGCCTTAACCGTCAAACCAAATAAAACGGTTCTAGTAATGTTCACACAAAAACGAATGCTGAATAACTATCATCTCCCAAGTCTTTTCAGCACAAAACTCCAGCTATCCTCTGAGGTAAAATATTTAGGTCTTACCTTGGACAGCAAACTTAACTGGAATAAACACAGAAAACAAA